ATACACAATCGCCGGTGGTGGAATCGGTGTCACCGGAGCTGCTCTCTCCTTCTTCTCTTCCTCCGGGGGCAGATCTTGGTACACTCTCTTTATCTTCCTCTTCACTGGCTTAGACGGTGGAGGAGCATGAGGCGGAGACGCCGGATTAGGAATCGCCGTTCGCTCTTCTACCACTTCAGCCGTCGTCGTCGCCGTCGCAACTACTTCAATTTTCTCAGTGTCGAGGATCTTTCCTCCTCCGTCGCCGTCGCCGGTGACTGTTGGATCTACATCTTTCTCCGGTTTAACCTCTCGCCAGTTTTGATAGATCCGATCTGAAGCTTCGTAACGGCATTCAGTACTTACACGTGTATCATCGTAAAATCTCCACCGTTCATCGGTTTCGAATTCTCGTAGCTTCAGATCTGGATACGAGCTACTACTCCGTAATCTACAAAATCTCTTATACACAGTCTGATCGGGAAACTGATCACCACCGCGATCGTCGATCCAGTAACGCGGCGTGGCACCACCACCACCGTTAGATAAACGACATCGATCAATGATCGAAGGCGAGCTCGAGAAATTGTTATTACTACTAATTTCTTCTTCCTTGTTACGATCATCACCGGTGGTAGTGTTACGGCTGAGGAAACCGCAAACGACGGCAAAGAGAACGAGAACGAAGTTGAGATAATCCCAGCTTTTACGAACTAAATGAGGTCGGAAAATCTGAGAAACAGAGGAAAATAAAGGAGGGATAATGAAGAAGACTATGAGGATTGTAGCTGCTCCGGCGAAGAATACTTGAGTAGCGACGGTGGTTGCACGGCCACCGAGACTAGCTGTGCGGCGGAAGTAAGTGTTATTGCGGCGAGATTGAAGCCAAAACGGCGTAGACGCGTCTCCATCTTCTTCTTCCATTAGAAAGACAAAACTTTTTTTGTTGAGAGTGGTTAGCTTTTGCTTTGTAAATGTGTTTGCTTTTTATGCTTTGCTTTTGTTGTTGAGATATTTTATGCTTAGGGAATTGGGTTTAATTGTGTGGATTATTACTTTACTTTACACCTTTTCTTACCAAAAATGTGTATTTGTCATGGAGTATTAGAGGGGACATGTTACTTGAGATTTTTTTTATATGATAAATAATTGGATCGCTTTAGTATTTTTGTGGGATATGTTTGTTTATACTGTATATATTGAGATACATTTCACATTTTACGTGTGGGTTATTTGAATAAATGTATAATGTTCAAAGTACACAACTTTACTCGGTTATCCATGAAACCAGTCACCTCATAATCTTGAGTTTGAGTGTCAACAAAAATAATAATCCAATTTACAAACAATCCATATAATATGCAAAAAAAAAAATTACAAATATACAAACACTAATAATCTACATTTTCTAAATTTTTGTAGAATCGCCGGTTTTCATAATTTATAATAGAATAATAATAAATCTATAAGATTCAAACAAACTTTTGATTTTACCCTTGTTCTGGGATTTTTAAATAAAAAAAAATGATGATTTGTTAGATAAGCTGGAAAATGGTGGTATTTGCTTGTGAAAGTTGGAAATTGGAGTTCAAAGGCCTAATGATACAGCTGGATTACATGAAGCAAATACATATTGGTACGCCAAATAATCAAATTGTTGAATATAATCATACGTATAAAGAGTTCACAAACACGTTTTCCAAATGAAACTGAGGCGTAATTATAGTCCGTTAACTTCTAATTTCGAATAACAAACAGCTGATACTTGCATTATATCATCAAAGATTTTAATAACAATTAAACATTTGGGTCAAAGTGGGGAGAGAGAGCCGGTGCTAATGTGATTATCGTTGTCTTTGGAAAATATCCAAACCGTCAAATTCAATATTTATATCATTAAGTCTTGTCATTTTCCCACTAAAATAAATTATCTAAAAACGGTATCAAATTTGGTTATTTTAAATAGTGTTTGATTTATCTATTTCTCTATTCAATTTGGGAAAATACAATATTAACCTTCCGTCTAGATTCAAGGTATAAAGTGATTCTTTTTTTTCCTTGCCTCCATGGTTAAGTAAGTTATGGAAAAAGATGAGAAACAAGAAAAAAAAAAGAGGAAAAAAGCGTGAACGGCAGGATTCGAACCTGCGCGGGCAAAGCCCACATGATTTCTAGTCATGCCCGATAACCACTCCGGCACGTCCACTTGTTGTGCAATAAATCGCTTTGTTTAATTATTAATACCATAATGAAAACTAATATACACTACATACACTAAAATTTGGAATTCTGATCACCATTATTTTTGAAGTTGTAGGATAAAAAGACATGTAAGCAAAACTATAGAAAATGATACTAGGAAAAAAAAAAAGGCAAGAGGGTTAATGTGACAGTTTCAATTACAATTTCCATTAGCCACATCTCAAAATATTACAACATACAATTCATCTACTTTAATATCCCCCCCCCCCCCCCAAAAAAAGACATTTCTTGGCCTATTTCATTCTTATACATACGAATCCAAATTCTTCTTCTTCAGTCTTTACTTAGCCTCCCCAACCCCATATTTCAACCTTTTTTTCTTTTATTTCCCCCTTTCTCTAACAATATTGAGTAAAATAATATTGTAGAAATTAGACCCGTAACGATCTAAAATCTAAGAAAAATCGAAACTTACCCCGATTTTAAAAAAAAGTAAGCGTACTGTTTTTTTTGTAATCAAGCTCTGGTCTTGAACTTTCTTTGAGCTTTCAAGTCAACCACGATGATGGAGATGTTGTCTTTGCTTCCTTTTTGAAGAGCAAGCACTGAGAGGTACTCAGCCGCGGCTTGGCAAGCTGGGTCTGTTCCTTTGCCTCTCTCTGTTAGTGGCGGTGGACCGTGCTTCTTGTGCCACATCAAGATCCTTCTCCTCGCTATTTCACAAACTTCTTGGTTGTTCAATACATCCCAAAGACCGTCGCTGGCTAGTATGAGACACTCATCTTCTCTTGACCTCGGCATGAATGTCACTTCCGGTTCTGGGATCACATATGGCTTCAGATATCTGTCACCTGCATAGGTCCATAGGAGGAAACATGCCGAGGATCTAATGTTTCTTTGAAAGGGCAGTAAATTCATTCTCAATGTACGGTTTTGGGATGTGCTATTGAATTAATAAACCAACTTCAACACATTCGTAGATGAATTAATGGTCATCAAGAAAGGCAAGCATTACTAACCGAGGGACCTAGACATGGCGAGAACACCAAAAACACGTGCGCCTTGCCACTGTATGACTTTTCCTCCAGCATTCTCTATTCTTGCGTATTCATCCTCTCTATCTGGCTGCAGAAAAGAGGTAAAAAAGACTTCATCAGCTCGGTAAGCCATTAGATTGGGTGAAATCTTCGAATAGAAGAAGCTATTTTTACTTTGTGATCAACTGATAAGGGCATGGCTTCTTTGCCACGGAATAAAACCGCCCTTGAATCACCGCAGTTAGAAACTACTATATGTGATGAGCAAACCAAAGCAACAACAGCAGTTGATCCTACGGTCTCAGAGGCAACCGCTTCGAGAACCTTATCAGAAGAACCAACAACAGCTCTGCTGATTTTTCCTCCAATCTCACCATCAACAGTTAGAAAACAGCTAGTGAAGACTTTCTCCCACTGGACCTGCCTACCCTCTCCTGTGTTCCTCTTGCATAATTCGTCTTTGATTCGTTCAATTTCTTCAGCCAAAGCAAAATGGAGTCTATCTCGGCAATAGTCAGCAACCTATAAGTCATGATACATTCAAAAGCTATAAATTTTACCGGAACATCTCAAATCAAAAGGTTTTCTGGACTCAGAGAGATTGTGAATATAGCATACCTGATAGCCTCCATGACCATCATAAACACCGAAAAAATGACCCGTGAGGTGTGTGAGGCTTGGACTCATACCCTCATGATCTCCCATTAACATTTTGATGGGTAATTTCAGAAAATGAGGTAACACGGCGAAAGCATCCTCCATTTCAGATCTATTACCTTGAATGGAAACCGTGCCCCAAAGCGGTATACAATCTAATTCATAAACACTTCTCCCTCTTGCCAGATTATTACTATTTTCTTCTGGCAACCGAATGACAACCTCCGAAGCTGTTACACCCGAACCATCTTCTATACTAGTATCCTTACTCACACCCGTGATAAGAACTTCCGCTGTAGGAACCTGCTCGATACTTGATTCACCTAGGATAATCGCTGATGCAAGAACACGCCCGCTTTCAATCTCCATCGTATCGGACAAGCTTAATTCAGAGCCCGCATCAACAACTAATAAGCCTTCACTTATAACCGCACTAGCATCCTCCACAACAAATAGTACCTCATCTTCATCCACAACTGTTCCGTCACAAGACCCACTTTTCTTCAACAAATCGGGCTCCGTATCCATCGTACATTCCATCTCTCCGTTGCAACAGCTTTGATTCGCCGGTGGTTCAGATAACAAGTCAGCTGCATCAGTAACGTTCTTGAGGTGAGTGATCTCCACAGGAGATGACTCACACATTGAGTTAGCTAAACTCAGAGTCATTGCAACAGCAGGAGTCATCTCTTCCATTAGACTCCCAAAATCAGAGAATTTCCCAACACAACAAGGAGAAAAAAGTCAAAAGTCTAAACTAATCTTTCAGACATGTACTTCAGACTGTTTCATCTTCTTCATGATCCTTGCTTTAAATTCGAGTTTTGTCAGCGACTCCAATGCCGCTTTTTCATCAGCTAGCTTAGCATAGTTAAACACAGAGGACGAATCAAAGGAGAATCAAGTACCGGAGAGTAACAGATCTGACGGATCTAATGAGACGGATCCTCTGTAATTTCACCACTCTCTTGATTCCAAAATCTTCAAACAATCCTTAATCTGTAACCTCTCGATTTTTTTTTTGTCAGCCTATTGAGAGATCACATAACAGACACTAATCAAAAACTCTCGAATCGTTAATCCAAACCGGTCATGTGGAAATTATACAGACAAAAAACGAACAAAAACAGAGAGGGAAAATAAATCATAAGAAAAACCTAAAAAAAATCGAATCTTTATTAACCTGAAACATAGTAAGAACATGGGTTTTTTTTCCTGGATCTAAATAACAGAACACGCTTCAGCTTTTACCCAGAAATAGAAAGATAGGAAAAGGGAAAAAAATCTAAACTTTGCTCTTAAGGAAACTAACACAAGCTC